AGGCAATGATCATATTCGACAATAACCAAGAGAACTTGCCTGCATCCATCCTTTCCACTCTTCTGTCTGGTGACGATTAAGGTAAAGAATGGATTTCCCACTTATGGGTGACTTGTCATTGTGCTTTTTGAGAGATGTCATGGCTGATACTATGATCAGAAGAACGTAGAGAAAAAGGAAAAGGTCGCGGTTGTAATTCTGTCAAATGAGACCAAGTCCTATGAGCAAAAGCGTTCAACAATTGAAGTAGATATTCTTTAGTGGATTTAAGATACAAAGAGGTTGAAGGACATGGGTACCTTGGTAGAATCTCCAAGCAACTCCGTACGGTCACAGATGTAGAAAAATATTAAGATTGCTCCAAACTCCGACCTAAGTATGATTATGAATGTTAACATAAGATAACGAAAAAAGAGATTATCACTTCTTGGAGATAACTTCACTTACATTGCTCTCAAGGTAGCTCGGTGTTCCAGCAAAAACGAATCTTCCATACTCAAAAATCTGTGATTCGATAAACCACAAATACCCTAGCATGAGAGAACTGCTGAAGAACTGTAATAAAAAAACTAGAAAAAAACTATGAGCTGAAAACACCAACCTGATTATGTTTGTTCTGATGGATGAATTATGAAACCTTACAGATGGTGATCTGGCAAGACCTCCCTCCAACAAATCAGCTTTTTCATCGTCCTTCTCTGCTACGTCTCCCAAATCAACAAGATTATTATCCGAGTGACTGCAGTAGAATAATGCAACTCTTGTCAAGGCTAAAGTCGAATGAGAGGAAGCACAATAGAGGGTGCTTCAGGGCTAAACTCTGCTTCGTTACTGAGAGTACCACATTGCAATAACTTACGGTTTCAAGGGAACCAAAGATTTCCCGTACTCAAGTAGCTCCGAGTATATCCAACCGATAAATATTGGGATTACGCCAAGTAGAAAAGATACCTACAAATTTTCACTTCAAAGTTAAATCTTGCAAGATTGAGGCCAGTATCCACCCAACTCTAAAATGATTCAACGCTACTACAAAGTTACAAACAAAGACTCAATTTAGCTAGACTTAGACTTGATCTTTTAGTTTTTTATGATCCATCCTTGAAAGATTCAGACATTGTACTTGCCGTGTGCTGATTAGACCAAGGAACCTGTCCTATGCTCTAGGCTGACTTTAATATTAAGAGTCACTTTCTTAGGTTACCTCCCACTAAAACTGGCGGCTTTTCACGAAATAAGTCATAATGGTACCGACAAATTTTCAACCTTGTCAACTAAATCGACTCAACATTGAATCGAAAGTACAAGAACGAGTGTGAAGTTTTTCAGGAAATTGTACCTGGCCCGGCGTAATCGGCCCCGGATCCACCATTTTTAGAGATCGCTATGAAATCTCAGAGCTGCAGAGACACCAAATACGATCAAATTTATGTAACGAATCCAAAATCAACAATGCGCAATCAAACAATCCTGAAACTCGGAAAAAAAACCCAGAAACGATTACAGAGATTTGAAATTACCAGAGATCGAAGAGGTTAAGTGAGGCAAATTCGATAAAGAAAGAAGGA